ATGTGATATTCTAAGTACCAAATAACAATCGTTTGAAATATTGTATGAATTACTTAGGGGGATGTAATATTTTAGAAGTATACATAGGGGGATGTGATATTTTAAGTAAGAACTTCAGTTTCTTTTTGTGGTACATACAGAACTTACAAGTGATGGATGTGATATTCTAGGTACCAAATACTAATTGTTTAAAATATTTTATCTTTTTGTGACATATACAGAGAATAAACCGAGGAGATGTGATATTCTAGATACCAAATACTAAATGTTTGAAATATTGTATGAGTTACTTAGGGGAATGTAATATTTTAAAGATAAACATAGAGGGGATGTGATATTATAAGAATTTAAGTTTCTTTTTGTGGTGCATGCAGATCTTACAAATGAAATATTGTAATATTGATAAGAAGTACTTTGGGGGATGTAATATTTTTGAAGTATACATAGTGGGGATGTGATATTTTAAGAAAGAATTTCAGTTTCTTTACACAGAAATTACAAGTAATGGATGTTATAGTCTAGTTACCAAATAAGTGTAATTTAAGTAAGATATGTTTGTCAATTGTTAGCTATTTTTTGTTTCTTGGGTCCTCCTCGGATGGGGAGATCTTTATAATAAATTTATATATTTAATTAAAAAAAAAAATAAAGAGCTTTTAATAAAATCAATAAACTTTAATTTTTATAGTGTTTTTTAGCTTTTTAAAGTTTTAATTTAATATTTTATTTTTTTTAGATACGATTGAGCTAACAATTTAAACATGCGGCATTGTTCAACGAAGTCATATATAAGACTTTAGTGGAATTAAAGTTTTCATATGATTTAAAATGAACGAAATTAATTACAATAATTTTTTATTTTAAATGTTTTCATATCTTGCAACATAAATATTTTACTAGTTTTAATGTACAAAACGTTTTGAAGGAAAATAAATAATTACGGTTTGTCTTTTTTCATTCTATTGCGTAATTTAAAATTTTTCTCCATTACGTCTACCTATGGTGGCTGAGGTGTAAGGTTTCGGGAAGGTTTTAACTTTTTCAGATACTTTTTTTGAATAATTGAAGCTTCTTTTTTTCTTAATAAAGGAACATTTTTAAAGAACTATTTTTAAATATTAACGTTTCTTTGGGTGGTTTGATACGGAAATATAATGTGATTATTGAACTTGTTGAGGCGAGTTAATAATGTTTAGTCCAATTCACAATTATTAATATTATACAAATTTTAAAAAGTGGAAAAAGTTTAAAAAAATTAACTTATGTTTATTACAATAAGTTATAAAATCATGTATTTCGAATCATCCAATATCATACTGAACTGAAATGATAAAGAATAATGCACTGAAAAAGATGGAAAAGACAAAGTATATTTTTTTTTTTTTTTTTTTTTTTAAACATCTTCACTTCCAACAAGGCTGCAAGCAACCACTATAAGAGTTGGAAGTTACTGGAAGAGAAAAGACTAAATCTGTAGAGCAAGATAACGATTGACTGATGACTTAAAAGATTGCAAATTATATGAATCAGGAAAGCAAGATGAAGGAAGCGAATTCCAAAGAACTGATGTTCGAGGAAAAAAACTAGAAGAATAAGAGTTTTTGAAGCACTTAGGAACAGTCACAGAAAAAGGATGAGACTTAATTGAATGGCGAGTAACACGAGAATGAATTTTAGTAGATGGCACAAGGGACGCTAGCTCTTTAGAGCAGTGCCCATTATAGTATTTGTAGAAAAGAGAAAGAGAAGCAACATTACGACGATGTGACAAAGGTTGGAGATTGGCTGCCAGAGCAGGTCCAACTATGTTTACAATTCGTTTTTGCACCTTGTCTAAAAGAGAAAGAGCATCATTAGAAGATCCGCCCCAGATGTGGCAACAGTATTCCATACAGGGACGGATTTGAGATTTATAGAGATAGAGAATAGAATCTGGAGTAAGAAAGTGTCGAGCTCGATAAAGAGATGCAACCTTAGCAGATGCTAATTTTGCAATGGATTTGATATACGGTTTAAAAGAAAGATCAGAAGTAAGAGTTAATCCTAGAAGATGAATGGTAGATGACTCATCTAGTACATTACCATTCATAAATATAGGAAGATCTAAATTATTACGATAACGATTGGCCGAATAAAATTGAGTTTTATCTGAATTAAAGTTCACCAGCCACTGTGAGCCCCATGCTGTAGCAGAAGTGAGATCCTTTTCAAGCTCAGATACCCCCTCCAAGCAATCAGAGAGTGTAGGCTTCTTATCATGACAAGAGTAAATGGTAGTGTCGTCAGCGAATAATGCCACCTTAGATGTGAGAATATCTGGAAGATCGTTAATGTAAATTAAAAAGAGTATAGGGCCAAGGATTGAACCTTGAGGAACCCCTGAAGTTACAGGATGTGAAGAAGAGTGTTGTCCATCGAGGACAACTTTTATACTACGATTGGAAAGAAAGGACTCAATAATCTTAAAGACGTTACCAGCTACACCATAAGAAGAAAGCTTATGGAGAAGACCAGCATGCCAAACTTTATCAAAAGCTTTAGAAATGTCAAGTGCGATAGCCTTAACCTCTCCACCTCTATCTAATGCACGGTAAAACCTATCGGTTATTACTGTTAGCACATCAGCTGTAGAACGAGAAGACCGAAATCCATATTGATGATCAGAAAGTAAGTTATTTGATTCAAGATGAGAAATTAAGTGTTTGTTGATTAAAGATTCAAAAACCTTGCTTATGACAGGAAGAAGACTAATGGGACGGTAGTTAGATGAATCAGATCGCTCTCCGGAATTTTTGAAAATAGGGATAACAGATGCTGCTTTCCAGCATGATGGAAAACAAGACTCTGATAAGCACTTGTTAAATAGTTTAGAAAGTATGGATGAAAGCTCCGGAGAACACCTCTGCAAGACTACAACAGGAATGTTGTCAGGACCACAAGCTGTTGAAGAGTCTAAGCAGGAAATTACTTTAGATACAGAAGCTGAAGTGATGCGAATGTCAAGCAAGGGATCAACCTGTTTGACGGCTATGTCAGGTAAAACGCAACTAGTGGAATCAAGAGATGATATTGATGAAAAGTTCTTAGCAAACAATTCAGCTTTGTCTTTAGGTGAGGTGACAAAGTCTGAACCATACAAGAGAGAAGGAATAACAGATTTGCCCTTATTATTGATACTGTTAAAGATTCTCCAGAAGTCTCGAGAGCCTAATTTTTGTGATGAGATACGAGATTTAATGACCTGGGAATAGCGAGCTTTGGCGTCAGACAAAACCTTTTTACAATGGTTTCTGGCGATAGTGAACAGATGTCTGTTTTCTGGAGAATTGTTTTGCTGATAGATATGGAAGTAACGGTTTCGATTAGAAATTGCTGCAGCGCAATGTGAGGAAAACCAAGGAGAAGAGTGAGGCTTGACCTGGAATCGTCGAGAGGGAATAAAAGATTCCATGCCAGCCTGAATCCACGAAGTTATGTAAGAAGCACATTTGTCAGCAGGAAGACGAAAGATTTCTAACCAAGGGCCATCACGAAGAAAATCACGGAAAGAGTCCCAGTCAGCTTTAAGGTAGTTGTATGTGGTACGATGATAGGGGGATTCTGATGAAGTAGAAGAATTTGATAATAGTTTTAGAGAGATCAAACCGTGATCAGAAGTACCTAAGGGTGAATGTGGAGAAATTGAGCACTGACTAGGATCCAAAACAAGACATAAGTCGAGTAGAGAAGGTAAATGATTAGGGTTGTCTGGAAAACGAGTTGGAAAGTTGACTATTTGAGTTAGAGATTGAGAAAGGCAAAAGTTGAGGGCCTTAACGCCAGCAGAGTCACTGACACTAGAGCCAAGCCAATCGGTGTGATGGGCATTAAAGTCACCAACAACGACGATATTGGCCGATGGATAAAGAGAGAGGGCTTGGTCAATTTGATCAGAAATAGCATCAAGAATAGTGCAATCTTGGGATGAAGGAGAGCGATATAGAACAAAGAGAAAGGCGATAGAGTGAAGTTGTGCTAAACGAAAGCACATAAATGAATAGTCTGTAGATTCAAACCTAGTTTCACGACAAATGGGTGAGTTCTTACGAATGTAGATGCCCAGGCCAAGCATGTGATTATTGGAGTCTTTACGAATTAAAGGAAGATAACCATTAACACTAAGATCACAGGATGGGACAGCTGAACTCAAATTAGTCTCACAAAGAGCAAGTAGGTCTGGTGAACTTTGCAAGAGATAAGACTCAACAGAAGAAAAGTTACTTCGAAGACCACGAATATTAGTAAATGATAGGTTTAGAGAACTTGGTGATGACAATGGTTTTTTGTGTTTTTTAGTTTTAGGTACTTTAGTCATTTTAAATTTATAAAGAACTTGACTCAAGTATAGATAGTACTCAGTACACTATTTAACAACTAAGCAATAGCCTCATTACTATTAATAAACCCTAAGCCGTAACAAAGGGCTCCAAATGTGGCCTCTGCAATGCACACCAAAAGTACAAACAGGGACACCATCCATGCGCAACATGGCACTGTTAGTACTCTGATATTTTTCAGCTGTTGATGGAATCAGCCTCTCTGAGAGCTACCACAGAGTTCGGGAAACCTGACTACCAGCCGGCCTCAGAACCATAAAACTGAGTTTTAGAGCTGTACCCTCATTAGGAGATAATAGAATGAGTTACCCAGTCATAAAAATAGAGACACAAGCAATACCCACGCATTGAGTCAAGAAGATCCAGCGTTCAACATCCTAAACTGGAAACAATGTATTAAAAATACATCTGCGCCAGCCTAATAGATGAGGAAGGAATAGATGAGAAATATATATATATATATATATATATATATATATATATATATATATATATATATATATATATATATATATATATATATATATATATATATATATATATATATATATATATATATATATATATATCTTCATAGAAAAAGCTCTTTACATTTTTACACACACACACACACACACACACACTCTTTAAACAAGATATGCTAATATGCTGTATGGTGGAAAAATTCCTTTGGACGCTTGCAGTATGTAAAATAGTATAATTGTTTTTTGAAAAAAGTTTATTTCTCTAAGTACAAAAAGTTTAACTTTTAGTGAAACGTTAGGTTCCCCATTTTTTACAGGGAACCTAACCTTGAACCTGATTTTGAAACTCACTTGTGTTTTAGATAATCAAACTAGGAAATAAAACAATTCACTCTATGGACCCTATGAGAGAACAGATAAATTCCATCAAAAGGAGAAGTGTAATGGAAGTATGATATTATTATTAGATATGTCAAAATTTGTATTTACATCCTTTATAATTTTTTTACTATTATACAGTAGTTGTTACTTACAACAAAGATAAGGTGTTTTAGAAAAGTTTGAAATATTAACATTTCCACATGCCATACAAGCTGAAGGTATAACATTTGGAGTATTCTGCCTTAAGGTAACTTTAAGAGTCTTAACTGTAATGGATATATATATATATATATATATATATATATATATATATATATATATATATATATATATATATATATATATATATATATATATATATATATATATATAAGCTCACATATTTTAATTTGCTGAAAGTTATACAAACGGAGAAGTATTGGCGTGTGTCTTTAATTTCTGTATGCATTAACTTCTAAATAGAAGTTAATGCATACAGAAAGAGAGAAAAAGGAGGTTTGTGAGATTCTTTAGAGAACTGAAAATGTTTACACTACTTCAATGTTAAATGATATATATAAAAAAGACAAAAAAAAATGATGCAAAATTAAACCAATAGGTCACAAAAGTTGGCAGAATAGTTTGTGTCGCATTTGTGGAAGTGAAATTTGGTCCAAAAACTAGAAAAAATCAAAAAAAAGTTAAATGGGTAATAAAATATATTTTAATTATTTTTTAATAAAATTTCAAATAGAAAAAAATACTTTATATATTCAAATAGAAAAATGTACATTAAATATTTATTTTTAGATCAAATGTGATATTTGCATCCAAATCGATGGTACCGTATGAGATGCATTGTTTTTAGAAATGAAACTTTATTTTGTTGTGAACATATTTATATATAAATGTAATAATAAATGAAACTTTAAAAATTGCAGTCATTTCTTTTTCTTCAACATTTTGTCATAAATTGAACCAATTTAAATGTTTATGCCCTTACAGATAAAAATACAAATAGGTGATTTGATACAAATTTTATTTTCCCTAATTTTAGTGAATTCTTGCATTATTATTATACTTTAACTTGTCGAAAGCCATACATATGAATTGATTGAACAATAATACATTTTTAATTTGTTAGCTCAATTAAATCTAAAAAAAAATGAAAATTGACTATTTGAGTACTGTCTGCACATTTTGTTAAAATGCTAAATTAAAATATCAAATCTCCCTATGCAGGCTTCTGAAACATTTCCCAACATAATTACTACCATGTTGCAAAACAATTGTATTTGCTTTCTGGAGTAACACAACCCCCCTGTTTAAGCTCTATATATATATCACGAAAAGAAGCAAAAAACCAACTTAAAATATCACATCCCCCTATGTAAATCTTTAAAATATTACATCCCCTAAGTAATTCATAAATTTTTTCAAATGAGTAGTAATTGCTTGAATATCATATCCATTACTTGTAAATTATGTTTGTACCACAAAAAAAAAAACTAAAATTCTTACTTAAAATATCACATCCCCCCTATGTTTACTTTTAAAATATTACATCCCCCTAAGTAATTCATACAATATTTCAAACGATTAGTATTTGGTATCTAGAATATCACATCTCATCGGTTTATTCACTGTATATGTCACAAAAAGAAACTGAAATTCTTACTTAAAATATAATATCCCCTCTAAGTTTACCTTTAAAATATTACACCCCCCAAAGTAATTCATACAATATTTCAAACGATTAATATTTGTTATTTAAAATACCACATCCCCTCTAGGTTTACCTTTAAAATATTACATCCCCCAAAGTAATTCATACAATGTTTCAAACGATTAATATTTGCTATTTAAAATATCACATCCCCTCTAGGTTTAACTTTAAAATATTACATCCACCTAAGTAATTCATACAATATTTCAAATGATTAGTATTTAGTAACTAGAATATCACATCCTCTCAGTTTATTCGCTGTATATATCACAAAAAGAAACTGAAATTCTCACTGAAAATATTCCATCCCCTCTAAGTTTACCTTAAATATTACATCCCCCAAAGTAATTCATATAATATTTCAAACGATTAATATTTGCTATTTAAAATATCATATCCCCTCTATGTTTACCTTTAAAATATTACATCCCCCTAAGTAATTCATACAATATTTCAAACAACTAGTATTTTGTATCTAGAATATCACATCCCATTGGTTTATTCACTGTATATGTCACAAAAAGAAACTTTAATTCTTACTAAAAATATCACATCCCCCCTATGTTTACTTCTAAAATATTACATCCCCCTAAGTAATTCATATAACATTTCAAACGGTTAGTATTTAGTGTTTAAAATATAAGATTCATCACTTGTAAATTCTGTATGTACCACAAAAAGAAACTGAAATTCTTACTTAAAATATCACATCCTCTCTATGTTTACCTTTAAAATATTAAATCCCCCTAAGTATTTCATACAATATTTCAAACGATTAGTATTTGGTATCTAGAATATCACATCCCCTCGGTTTATTCACTATATATGTCACAAAAAGAAATTGAAATTCTTACTTAAAATATAACATCCCCCCGATGTTTACTTCTAAAATATTACATCCCCCTAAGTAATTTATAAAGTATTTTAAACAATTAGTATTTGGTATATAGAATGTAACATCCACCACTTGTTATTTCTGTATATGTCACAAAAAGAAACTGGAATTCTAACTTAAAATATCACATCCCCCCTATGCAGGCTTCTAAAATATTGCAAACGATTATTATTTTTTATTTCCTAAAGTATTATATCCCTCATGTGTAATTTTTTTCTATACTATTGTCACATAATACATTACGATCAAAATTTTATAAATAAGAATTTAAAATATTTACCATTTTATGCTAACTTTATTTATTAGTATAAAAATATATTAGTAGAAAAACGTTTTTATGAATCTCGTTGCGTTTTTATTTTTTCATATATTGTTTATAATTAAATGTTTCGGACGTATTTGATACACTTCTAAATGCAATGAGTCGTAAGCGCGTTCTCGTTTTCAATTTTTCTATGGGGGATGTAATATTTTAGGCGGATGTGATATTTTATTACAGGTAACATCCTCAAAACAAGCAAATAAAACCCACCTCTACGTCTGCATCAAAGCCTTCTTATGTTGCAACATTTGAGAGGACATACTACGGCTCAGCCAAATACCCTAACTTGATCCATTTTAAACAAAGTACGCTGATATACTTTTTAGAAAAATTATTAAAACACGTTGCGCAAGAAGTAACATTAGAACACAAAAAACTTATAAGTTAAATTATTCCTAAGTACTCAAGTACAAATTAAAGGCAAACAAACAAACAACAAAATAAAAAACATTTAAGATAAAAGACTTACCATTATTTGATATTGAATAAGAATAAGTCTTGAAGGATATTTTGCGCAATGCCAATGAGCAGTTTATAGGGCGCATGTAAATTGTGATATTGTACACAGATGTTGTATGACGTAAATTTGCGGTTCCCTCGAGCTAAGCCTCAGTAAATAATAACGCTATTGGTCAAAGAATATCTTAACTGATTGGAGGATGAAAGTGTAAGGTGATTGGTTAATAATGTTGTGTTTAGAGAACATAAAAAATAGAGAGCATTCGAAGGTGTCATAAATTATTAAGATAATATGTTTTAACTTACATAATCAGTTAGGGGAAAGAGTATCGCGGGATCAAAGATATACAATGCAATAAAAGCTCCAATTTGTGTCTCAGATCCACAATGCAAGACAAAATATATTTAAGCGAGTTTTTTTGGTAAATAAATCTAGATGAAAAAACTGCAAGGTTTCAATTTAAATTTAAATAAATTAGTCTTTAGCGGCTTGAACTAACATTTGTCAAATTGATATTAGCAATCGACAACAAACGGAAAAAGGGTAAATTCATACAAAAACCCTGCCTCACCGCGTACACAGACACTTGTCCAGGTATGCAAGGTGACAACAACGAAAGCGATTCCCCGCATCAGCCTACGCTGTTGGATTTGTGGTACATCGCTAAGATTAACCAGTGCATCCTCAAGACGCAAACCCATCGGAACAAAGCCCCATTGCTGACCCTCTCATAACGGAACATGATCACACGAGCAGCGACACAAAACGCAATACATTTTATCATCCCTCACTGCGCACATAGACCCTTGTCCAGGTATGCAAGGCGACAACAATCCCACACTTCCCGACCCCAGCAACAGTGAACCGAATTGTGTCGCTATAAATGTACTGCACTCGCCAAATAGTGCTTACAAAACTAGCATCAAACCTCAAACCTCATAATCTCTTAAAATTATATGTTGTAAAACATATCTTATAAAGTAATTTTAACACCCCACTGCTTAATTTTTGTTTAAAATCTAAAATCCACATAAGAATATAACCCCTTAAAACCCACTTAAAGTCACATAAGAATATAATCCCCTAAACGACAACTAATATCAACATGAGGGGTAAAAAAAAATTTTTTTTAAATTAAAAAAAAAAAAAAAAAAAAAAAAATTTTGAAATACTAACTGAGGCTAAAATTGATTCTTCACTAAAATTAATTCTTCACTAAAGCAATGTAAGTTAAAAACGGGGAGTAAATCGAATAGGGATACTAAAAAGGTATTATTTGTATTATAGTAGAATGAATATGTACACCAAATAGGTATCAATTATTAAATAGAAACTTATGGGTAAAACGAATATTTTTACTAAAACAGTATTAATCATAAAATATACACTGATGATAAGACCCAACAACCTATAAATACAGTAGAAAATACGAAATCACAAATTGAAAAAGCAAAATTACATCAAAGGCCTAGAGAGTCAAAGACGTCAAAGTATTAAGAAAGACAAAAAAGAAAAAGAAAATTCAGTAAAGGAAAGAGAATAGAACCCTAATAATAGATGAGACGGGACAAATAAATAGGAAAGATTACGATAAAAAAGAACATAAAAACACTAAAACTAAATAAGACAGAAAGTCAAAGTATTTACGAACGACACGACAATTGACAGGCAAAACTTTAACATTTAGAACACTACAAACAAAAAGTACAATAATTTATACATACTTTCAGAACACTACAACAACACTTACCTAAAATCGAAAACAACACTCATCTAACTTAAACAACTCTAACTAAAACAACCAGTGGCGGAACTTCAAAATTTGGGCCCCCCCGCAAAAGAATGTTTTTTTTGCGGAAAAGAGTTTTATAGTTTAAATATTATTGAGAGTATAACTTTTTTTATATGAGGGCCCCCTATAGCTGGTAGGCCCCCCCGCAACGCAGGGTCCTGCGTCCAGTAGTTCCGCCACTGAAAACAACACTCACTTAGCTCTTACATATTTACTGAATAATACTCCCTTCTTAAACACCACCTCTCAATACTGAGCAACTGCCCAAGGATTATAATTTATCTAGCACTCCCTTGCACTTATAAAATACATTTCTTCCTTCTCGTAAGATTGTTATGGTCTGATGGGACCATATAAGTAATAGCTCCCACTGCGAAACAATAGTATACTCTTTTTGTAAGTATTTTTGCGCGTACTTTCCTTATTATATTGTATGTTTGTTGTCGCTATTTGTTACAACACTACCGGTGCTGAGCCCAATATGTAAAATAAAAATAGTAAGCTTATAATATTATGTTTTTATAAAACGAATAATTTCATTAAACCATCTAAAAATAAATTAAATGTAAAATAAATTAAATGTAAAATGAATAATATTTTTACAAAGCATTTTTTTAAACTTTATTATATAGAAGATAAATTGTGACGAACAGCTGCACCACACCATACAAACGTAATTTAAATATAAACAAGAGCTAAAACAAATATTGCATTATACGTAAAAAACAACCGCAG